TTCACACGGGTATTAAGAAGTATGTCTGTCATTGGCCTGAATGCGACCGCAAGTTCGCCCGACCCGAGCACCTGAGACTTCATACACTTTGGCACAACAACGATAAGAAGTACCGGTGCCCGTGGCCCGGCTGTTCCTACCGGACCTGTTTCTCCAGTAATGTCACAATACATAGAAAACAAAAACATAAAGAATTTTGTTAATTAAAAAATTTACATTTCTATTTAGTTATATACTGTAAAATAATATTTTGTATCTATTGTATTTTAATACAATGTTCACAATACTGTGTAATATTTTAATTTGTTTAATTTATGCTTAAATAAAATTATTCATTTTATTTAATCCGGTATAATATTTTGTTTGTAGTTACAGTGTAGTCAAACATTGCGCTTAAATAATTAAACTCATAGTACAATGAATACTCGTTATAATAAATTGCAATAAATTTATTATTTGCATAAATTTAGTATAATTTAAGTCATACTCGTGGTTACAGTTTATAATAATTGACAATTGTTTTCAATGTATGTTAAAATCAATACAATTATAAAAGTTTTATTTGACAATACATTGCATTCATTATAACCGGAATTCAATGCAATGTTTTCATATGTAATGTTGTTTTGACTCAAACTCTTGTCATCTGTTTTCGGTTCAAAACTTTTGACAGAAATTTGGTTTAAATATGATTTCAATTGAAATAAACGATTGTTTCGATGAAATAGTTAATGAAAATCAGAGACTTTTCAATGAATTAATTTTTGCCAAAAAATGCCACAAATTGTTGTGTCATTTGAAAGACTTTTTGGACACAAACGAGGGTTCAGTTATAGTCGAGGAATATATACCACTGAAGACTATTTACACACAATTGCAAGACATCTGCAATCATGTCATCGACACCACCACTGATCGGAGGACACCAATCGATGACAATCAAGACATTCAACATAAACCACACCAACGGTTGTCTCCCGAAGACGATACTCAAAGACCACCGAAGGAAACCTCAACGAAGAAATTGAAACGAAAATGTGATAAAAGTTTGAAAACAATTCAAAATGAGAAGAAAGGAGCGAAAGAAAAGTCAAACCCAAAGATCACCCGAAAAGACAATAAATCGATGGCCGAAGAGATCGAGGGCTCAAACACTCGCCAAACGAGAAGACTTCTTAAATCGGATGTAAAGCCCGTATATATTGACCACAAACTGGTATATGAGTGCCAAAGACCTGATTGTGACAAACAGTTTAAACACAAAAACAGTTTACGATATCACGAGAGGTCTCATCTGAATCCCAAGACCTACTCGTGTGTGTGGCCGGGATGTGATTACAAGACACGTGACAGAAATGGTCTCCCTTTGCATAATCGCATTCACACGAAGACAACGCTAACCAAACCGCTTCCTCTTCGGTATAAACCACAAAAGGAATCAATGAATGACACGAATGATGACACACCAGACACCACTTCAGAGGACACGTCGGGCGTACCTATGGATCAGATAACACTCCGTAAACGTATACGCGAGCAGTTCCAGAGGGGTGTTCCCGCGGGTCAGGCCTTTAAGATTGTGAAAACTCTTTACGGATCGATCATAAGTCGGAGTACTTTGCACAAGTGGTACCAAAGGTTCAAATCAGGGAATCTTAGTGTCGAAGATGACTCCCGTTCGGGTCGACCCAAACAGACAGACCTAAGGGTTGCCAACAAAGAGGGAAATCTGGTGTTTCGGTGCGAATGGCCTGACTGTGGATCCGAGTACTCACACAAAGGCCGTCTAAAGCGCCATATGATGGTCCACATGAATGTGAAACCTTACCGGTGCGAGTGGCCCGGCTGTGACTACGCCAGTATCGAGAATTATGAACTCGAGTACCACAAAGCGATTCACACGGGTATTAAGAAGTATGTCTGTCATTGGCCTGAATGCGACCGCAAGTTCGCCCGACCCGAGCACCTGAGACTTCATACACTTTGGCACAACAACGATAAGAAGTACCGGTGCCCGTGGCCCGGCTGTTCCTACCGGACCTGTTTCTCCAGTAATGTCACAATACATAGAAAACAAAAACATAAAGAATTTTGTTAATTAAAAAATTTACATTTCTATTTAGTTATATACTGTAAAATAATATTTTGTATCTATTGTATTTTAATACAATGTTCACAATACTGTGTAATATTTTAATTTGTTTAATTTATGCTTAAATAAAATTATTCATTTTATTTAATCCGGTATAATATTTTGTCTGTAGTTACAGTGTAGTCAAACATAGCGCTTAAATAATTAAACTCACTTACAGTACAATGAATACTCGTTATAATAAATTGCAATAAATTTATTATTTTCATAAATTTAGTATAATTTAAGTCATACTCGTGGTTACAATTTATAATAATTGACAATTGTTTTCAATGTATGTTAAAATCAATACAATTATAAAAGTTTTATTTGACAATACATTGCATTCATTATAACCGGAATTCAATGCAATGTTTTCATATGTAATGTTGTTTTGACTCAAACTCTTGTCATCTGTTTTCGGTTCAAAACTTTTGACAGAAATTGGGTTTAAATATGATTTCAATTGAAATAAACGATTGTTTCGATGAAATAGTTAATGAAAATCAGAGACTTTTCAATGAATTAATTTTCGCCAAAAAGTGCCACAAATTGTTGTGTCATTTGAAAGACTTTTTGGACACAAACGAGGGTTCAGTGATAGTCGAGGAATATATACCACTGAAGACTATTTACACACAATTGCAAGACATCTGCAATCATGCCATCGACACCACCACTGATCAGAGGATACCAATTGACAGAAACCGAGACATTCAACATAAACCACATCATCGGTTGTCTCCTGAAGAAGATAATGAAAGTCATCGGAAGAAATTGAAACGAAAATGTGATAAAAGTGTGAAAATAAATAAAAACCCGAAGAAAGAAGTTAAGGGAAAGTCAAACCCAAAGATCACCCGAAAAGACAATAAATCGATGGCCGAAGAGATCGAGGGCTCAAACACTCGCCAAATGAGAAGACGTCTTAAATCGGATGTAAAGCCCGTATATATTGACCACAAACTCGTATATGAGTGCCAAAGACCTGATTGTGACAAACAATTCAAACAGAAAAAGTATCTCAAAAGACACGAAAGGATTCATCTGAATCCCAGGACCTACTCGTGTGTATATCCCGGATGTGATTACAAGACACGTGTCAAGAATGTGATCACAAAACACAGACTCACTCACAATATGCAAGAAAGTGGTCATAAAACTCGTCGTCTGCGACACAAACGAAAGTCAGTTAACGGTACGAATGAAGACAAATCAGGAGTTAATCCGGAGGACACGTCGGACTCACCACCGGATGTGATAACAGTCCGCAAACTTCTTCTCGAAGAGTACCAAAACGGTTTGCCCACAAATGAGGCCTTAATACATATACAACATCTCTACGGATCGGTGATATCCATGAGAACAGTCCAGCACTGGTACCAAAGGTTCAAATCAGGGAATCTTAGTGTCGAAGACAACTCCCGTTCGGGTCGACCCAAAAAGGCAGACACAAGGGTTGCCAACAAAGAGGGAAAACTCGTATACAGATGCGAATGGCCTGACTGTGGGTCGGAGTACTCGAAAAAATACCATTTAAAGCGCCATGAGATGGCCCACATGAATGTGTGGCCCTACCGATGCGAATGGCCCGGATGTGACTTCGCCACTGCCACTCGAAATTCACTCTCATGGCACAAAGGTATTCATACGGGTATTAGAAAGTTTGTCTGTCATTGGCCTGAATGCGACCGCAAGTTCGGTCGACCCGATAACCTGAGAGCGCATATGCTGTGGCACAACAACGATAAGAAGTACCGGTGCCCGTGGCCCGGCTGTCCCTACCGGACCTGTTTCTCCGGTAATGTCAGAATACATAGAAAACAAAGACATAAAGAATTTTGTTAATTACATTTCTATTTGGTTATATACTATAAAATAATATTCTGTATCTATTGTATTTTAATACAATGTTCACAATACTGTGCAATATTTAAATTTGTTTAATTGGTGTTTAAATAAAATTATTCATTTAATTGTACCTGTATAATATTTTGTCTGTAGTTACAGTGTAGTCAAACATAGCGCTTAAATAATTAAACTCACTTACAGTACAATGAATACTCGTTATAATAAATTGCAATAAATTTATTATTTGCATAAATTTAGTATAATTTAAGTCATACTCGTGGTTACAATTTATAATAATTGACAATTGTTTTCAATGTATGTTAAAATCAATACAATTATAAAAGTTTTATTTGACAATACATTGCATTCATTATAACCGGAATTCAATGCAATGTTTTTTTCACACGGGTATTAAGAAGTATGTCTGTCATTGGCCTGAATGCGACCGCAAGTTCGCCCGACCCGAGCACCTGAGACTTCATACACTTTGGCACAACAACGATAAGAAGTACCGGTGCCCGTGGCCTGGCTGTTCCTACCGGACCTGTTTCTCCAGTAATGTCACAATACATAGAAAACAAAAACATAAAGAATTTTGTTAATTAAAAAATTTACATTTCTATTTAGTTATATACTGTAAAATAATATATTGTATCTATTGTATTTTAATACAATGTTCACAATACTGTGTAATATTTTAATTTGTTTAATTTATGCTTAAATAAAATTATTCATTTTATTTAATCCGGTATAATATTTTGTCTGTAGTTACAGTGTAGTCAAACATAGCGCTTAAATAATTAAACTCACTTACAGTACAATGAATACTCGTTATAATAAATTGCAATAAATTTATTATTTTCATAAATTTAGTATAATTTAAGTCATACTCGTGGTTACAGTTTATAATAATTGACAATTGTTTTCAATGTATGTTAAAATCAATACAATTATAAAAGTTTTATTTGACAATACATTGCATTCATTATAACCGGAATTCAATGCAATGTTTTTATATGTAATGTTGTTTTGAGTCAAACTCTTGTCATCTGTTTTCGGTTCAAAACTTTTGACAGAAATTGGGTTTAAATATGATTTCAATTGAAATAAACGATTGTTTCGATGAAATAGTTAATGAAAATCAGAGACTTTTCAATGAATTAATTTTCGCCAAAAAGTGCCACAAATTGTTGTGTCATTTGAAAGACTNTTTCGATGAAATAGTTAATGAAAATCAGAGACTTTTCAATGAATTAATTTTCGCCAAAAAGTGCCACAAATTGTTGTGTCATTTGAAAGACTTTTTGGACACAAACGAGGGTTCAGTGATAGTCGAGGAATATATACCACTGAAGACTATTTACACACAATTGCAAGACATCTGCAGTCATGCCATCGACACCACCACTGATCAGAGGATACCAATTGACAGAAACCGAGACATTCAACATAAACCACATCATCGGTTGTCTCCTGAAGAAGATAATGAAAGTCATCGGAAGAAATTGAAACGAAAATGTGATAAAAGTGTGAAAATAAATAAAAACCCGAAGAAAGAAGTTAAGGGAAAGTCAAACCCAAAGATCACCCGAAAAGACAATAAATCGATGGCCGAAGAGATCGAGGGCTCAAACACTCGCCAAATGAGAAGACGTCTTAAATCGGATGTAAAGCCCGTATATATTGACCACAAACTCGTATATGAGTGCCAAAGACCTGATTGTGACAAACAATTCAAACAGAAAAAGTATCTCAAAAGACACAAAAGGATTCATCTGAATCCCAGGACCTACTCGTGTGTATATCCCGGATGTGATTACAAGACACGTGTCAAGAATGTGATCACAAAACACAGACTCACTCACAATATGCAAGAAAGTGGTCATAAAACTCGTCGTCTGCGACACAAACGAAAGTCAATTAACGGTACGAATGAAGACAAATCAGGAGTTAATCCGGAGGACACGTCGGACTCACCACCGGATGTGATAACAGTCCGCAAACTTCTTCTCGAAGAGTACCAAAACGGTTTGCCCACAACTGAGGCCTTAATACATATACAACATCTCTACGGATCGGTGATATCCATGAGAACAGTCCAGCACTGGTACCAAAGGTTCAAATCAGGGAATCTTAGTGTCGAAGACAACTCCCGTTCGGGTCGACCCAAAAAGGCAGACACAAGGGTTGCCAACAAAGAGGGAAAACTCGTATACAGATGCGAATGGCCTGACTGTGGGTCGGAGTACTCGAAAAAAGACCATTTAAAGCGCCATGAGATGGCCCACATGAATGTGTGGCCCTACCGGTGCGAATGGCCCGGATGTGACTTCGCCACTACCACGAAAAATTCACTCGAGTGGCACAAAGGTATTCATACGGGTATTAAAAAGTTTGTCTGTCATTGGCCTGAATGCGACCGCAAGTTCGGCCGACCCGATAACCTGAGAGCGCATATGCTGTGGCACAACAACGATAAGAAGTACCGGTGCCCGTGGCCCGGCTGTTCCTACCGGACATGCTTTCAAAGTAATGTTAATAAACATAGAAAACAAAGACATAAAGATTTTCGTTAATCACTTTACAATTGAAAACAGTTGTAATATATTTATTTCATATTTATGTTATTAATAATGACTTAATATATAAAACTTGTATTCATTTCAATGAAATAAAGAAAATATTCTGTGAATTGTTTTATATGTTTATTCTTGTAGTCAAACATTGCGCTCAATTATAACTACCGGTATATGAATTTCAGTAAATTCTCATTACACTCAATTGTGACCATGATCAATTTATTTTGTGTACAGATATAGTGTAATTTCAGTGACAAAAACAGTGATCGACTCATTATAATGCGAATTAAGTTAATTATTTTTACAATTAATTTCAATCAAGTTTTGGTTTAACATTCAGTTTCATTCACAACACTATAACCGGAATCCAATGCAATGTTTTTCAGCTGTTTTTCACTCAAAATGAATGAAATGTTGTTTTCACTCAAACTCTTGTTATCTGTTTTCGGTTCAAAACTTTTGACAGAAATTGGGTTTAAATATGATTTCAATTGAAATAAACGATTGTTTCGATGAAATAGTTAATGAAAATAAGAGACTTTTCAATGAATNAATGAAAATCAGAGACTTTTCAATGAATTAATTTTCGCCAAAAAGTGCCACAAATTGTTGTGTCATTTGAAAGACTTTTTGGACACAAACGAGGGTTCAGTGATAGTCGAGGAATACATACCACTGAAGACTATTTACACACAATTGCAAGACATCTGCAGTCATGTCATCGACACCACCACTGATCAGAGGATACCAATCGACAGAAACCGAGACATTGAACATAAACCACACCATCGATTGTCTCCCGAAGAAGATAATGAGAGACCACAGAAGACGACGAAGAAGAATACAAAACGAAAATGTGATAAAAGTTTGAAAATAAATAGACTTCCGAAACAAGAAATATCAGATCCAGAGGTCAGCGATGAGGACACATCCGACACGAAATCAATTGAATACCAAATCCGGGACTCAATATTAGAAGAGTTCCGCAAAGGAGTGACACATTTGAAGACTAAGAGGAATATCTGTAATATCTATGGAGAAGAGTTGGGTCAAGAGATGTGTCGCAAATGGTTCCGCGAATTCAGATCACAAGGGATTAAGCCGTCGAAGACTGTGAAGACTAAAGACACAGACAATGAGTGCATATATAGGGACGGCGTTCGTGTATATCAGTGCCGATGGCCTGAATGCGGCAAAGAGTTTAGACAGAGATGTCTGGTCCGGGACCACGAGATGATACACTCGGACACCCGGCCCTATGTGTGCAAATGGCCCGGATGTGAATACAGGGCTAACCGGCGGCACGCCCTCAACAAACACGAGCTGATCCACACCCGGATCAGAGAGCCACCCATCCGTCTACCTCTTCGGCATAAACCCAAGGACTCGACAGACAGTGGCGGTAACGACACGTCGGACGCATCTCTCGATAAGCTGGCCGTCCGGAAGTTTCTGCTGCAGGAGTTCCAGAAGGGAGTGGCCGTCTGTGAGGCCTACAAGACTATGCGCGGTCTGTACGGCAATGTGTTGAACAACAAGACGTGTCACAAGTGGTACCAGAGGTTCAGGTCCGGGAATCTCAGTGTCGACGACTCCGCTCGCAAGGGTCGGCCCAAGAAGTTTAAGGTGACGTATAAGGAGGGAAAGCCTGTGTATCACTGCGAATGGCCCGACTGTGGGGCACAGTATTACTCGCAGAACAACCTCAGACATCATACGTTGAGGCACCAGAACATTATGACCCACCGGTGCGATTGGCCGGGTTGTGAGTACGGCACCGTCAAGAAGCGAATGCTGGACTACCATAAGTCCATTCACACCGGTATCCGGATGTTCAAGTGTAAGCTACCCGACTGTGAGCGTACATTCAGTCGACCCGATCATCTCAGTGGTCATATGTTGTGGCACAACAACGATAAGAAGTTCCGGTGCGAGTGGCCCGGCTGTCAGTATAGGTCGTGCTTTCGGGGTAATGTCGCTAAACATAAGAAACAAAAGCATGGATTTACTAATTAATAAGTCATTTATATCTCATAAAGAGTTCGGGAATTGAATGTAAAGAATAATTTATTATAATTTTTTTTAAATACCTTAAATTCCAACCAATAAAATATGAATTTATTTAAATTCTCATTAAAACTGTTTATTTGTTTAATTTCGGAATAAATATTTTTAAGTATAAATATAATATATATACTGTATGTATATTATACTGTGCATATAAATGTAGATAAAAATAAATTAACCAAACTTTAACATTTTTGTAGTAAATTCCATAAAAACTTATACACTTTTATATATCGATATACATGTTATGAAACTCAATCTTTCATATGAATTATGCAAATATACGGCACATAAAGAAAGTCTAAAAACAAAATTCTTGCTGTCATTTAAACAAAAGATTTACAGCGAAATGTTGTGAAGAATTTCAAAAGAAATATTATATCAAATGCTTTATTGAAAAATCATTGATAGCGCTGTTAAATAAGAAACACTGGGAAAGCCTGGAGGCTATTGAAAGCAAACTAGAAATTCATTGTGAAGTTCATGAGAGGATTCACTCTCATTTTGTTTACAAACTTTAATTCAATGGGCTTTCAAACTTGTATTTTAGTGTAAATACCTGTGCACTCAGCTACTCAATGCACAGGTTTTGATTCATGTAATTTAATAAATTTATATATTATATTAAATTCTAATCAAATATTTTTACGAAACTTTGAATTTCCCTGATGTTTACGTTCAGTAACTCTCAACCGAGTGTTTTATCTGCAAAATAACATTTTTGATAAAAATTTTCATAATATTGAGTAAATAAATAACATTTCAATTTGAAAGACAACTTAAAATAATAACAAAAAAATCTTTTTATATTTAAATGATTAAAATTAAAAATATTTGCTTTTAAAAATTATTCCGTGACTAACATTTGTGCTAACATAAGCCATAAATGCAATTGAATTTTAATGTGTTTTTCGTATCCGCTATTCAAATGAAACATAATGTATAGTGAAAGATGTGATTATGTATTGAATGATTTGGACAAATACTATATCATTGTCTGAGAGAAGATGTTTCGACATCGAAACGAAGATAATGTAAAACTTCTGTACATTCGGTCAGTATTTCAGTATTTTTTGTTTCCAAAGACTTTGCAACTCTTGGCATTCATTTATTATTCAAATGGAGTTTAAATTTAATTTTCATTATATATGCTGTGTCTCGATGATAGTCATTGAGAGACAAACGAGTGAATTGACAGCAATTGAATGATTCAGTGACTAAAATATATATCAAGATTAATGTCTTTACTACTCGTAGCGCATATAATATGCTTAGGGATTGTCACAAATTTATCTCTTTTGTGATTATCTGTCAAAATAACGATTGCATTATTGAGTCTCTAATCCTAAAACTATTTCGGGTTAGTTGTGAACATTGAATGTATTGAATGGCTAAATGCTTAGGGCTTATAGACTCGCTGCACACATGAAAGTCCTACCAATTAAAGTGCTGTGAATTATCCTAATGTCACCAAATTTCACGTTTCAAAGCATATTTATTATGAAATGCAATTTCGTGTATTCATAACACTTTTACTCTAAAATCTATTTATCATTTCATATTTCACTCAATTTCTGCATTTTCTCAAAATGTTATTTCAATTCCCTATTGATTCTCAAAAGATGGACTAAATTGGTATAAATTATGTGAAATGCTGTAAATATTTATATTTACACGTATTGAATGCTCACCATATTCTGTAATGAATAGTGCGTGAGTGAGTAGGAGAGAGAGAGAGAGAGAGAGAGAGAGAGAGAGAGTATATTTAACTGTTTGGAGAATTTTGTTTTTTATTTATGTGTAGAAAATGAAATCCTGAGGGAATAAACAGACGGGAACTTCAGGTATGAAGTCTACAGGAAATATCAAATTTAATTAAAATTCTATGGAAATAATGATTAGTTGTTGAGAAGCGGCAGAATATTAATATAATATATGCAAATAAATAGACGAGTCTGGAGGTGTTATTACCTTTTTTTAATAGACCGCAACAATAATTAGCAATTACTATATTTATAAATTGTCACTAGTGCTCATATAAAGTAAGTTATCTCATTATATCGTGTGTGTTGGGGACTTGGAAATAAAATTTTCATGAAGTTATTGGCGTTTAATATAAATAGAGGAATTGAGAGCACATTTCAATAAATAATATAAATCTCACAATTGGTTGAAAACAAACTTCAATTCCTGAAGTTTTGTGGAATACATGCGTAAAGTGTGTGCAAAGAATCTTACGGCGCGCTGAATGGCATTTGATTCCTGGGTATCCACTGCTTGCTATTCATTGTGTTGAACACAAGTCTACCGCTTATACAATGTATTGTCAATACATATACGACTAGTCCTCACAAGCATTTAAGCACTAAATATAGTTTTTCGACAAATTATTTATTCTTGTGCTGAGCTATACATGCCGTATATATTAATTCATAAATATTTATAATTCATATAATATATCGTTAACTCATATTTTGATAGAAAAAGACAAATTTAACTCAATTTCATTGTTTACTCATTGTTTGGAAGAATATTTTCGTATAAGAAAGTGAATTACAAATTTATAACTTATTATATGAATTACATATTTTGCATAATTTTCGTGTGGAAAATAATACATCTTTTGAATAATAAAATTTAATTAAATCGCAAACTAAGGCCAACTATTGTTTGTCGCTGGTTGAGTTCAAATTTATCAGTGATTTTTATAGTGAAAAATGAGTGAAACAACGGCTTCAGTCAGCAATTCTGGCAAATCTATTGCCAAGAATACGGGTTCATCGCTAAGTCTGGACAGAGCGGCCTTCCTATTGATTCGCATTAAAAGAGTTTTCCAAAAGAAAAAACATAACAAATATAAAAGGTATTCACATTATGATTACCATAATTATTTAATGAGCTGGGGTATTGGCTAAATCTTTACATGTTTGCATAGGGAATATGCTTTGCAATTATAGCATGTAATGCGGTTATACTTTATAATTTAATTTAACAAAGTTCATAGTAATTGATACCAATGGATTTTTAGTTATGAATTGTTTGCATAATGATTTTTGTACTAGGTTTGAGTAGATTATTGCTAGTCAATTGATATTTAAAGTAATTTTATGTTCGTTTATTATTATGCAAAGATATTATGATAATGTTATTAACCTATATTTTGTTTGAGTTCATTTAAAATATAATTTATTGATTCTTGAGATCATTTTCTTATTAAATAATTGTCAAATGAACTCATTTTATTGATTTTAATGGATTCTCATTTACAAAAATACATCAAAATATATATTAATAGTACACTATAATTTGTAGTTATTATTGTTTAAATTGTAATTGTGTTTAAATTTACAGAATTATCCCAGAATTGTCATAAATATTAATATAATTTTTAAGTTTAATTATAAAATCATTCAAAAATGATTCGATTTTAAAATAAATTATATTTTCAAATGTAATGAAAGTGAATGTAGAAAACACGGATAAGCTCTTAAAGCAATTGGTTTTTTAAATTGTTTCTACAAAATGAAAAATACTGAATTTGTTGTGTACACTGTAGAGTCTACACTGATAACATAGGCTTACAGCACGTTATTGCCAATACATTGCATATTTTATTTATATAATTGAAACACAAAATATTCTTATAGATAGGAATATAATGAAATCTAAACACACCGGACATGTATTCTGGACTCATTTGCATACAACAGTATTACAAATATGAATTTAACGCTAAGATCGCATAAAATAAAAGTTTTCAAAATTAATTAGTTTCATTCAAAAACGGTTAATTTTGTGCCAAAATTTTTATGAATAATGAAAAGTTGATATAACATTTATTAGAAAACAAAAGCAAAATCATTACTAATTGATTAAATGAAACACAAAGGCATAGTGAATAAAATGACTTCTTAATTATAATCCATTAGTTATATAAAACAAAATAAAAGTGATATAAAGTCGTTAATTGTCAAACGAGTGCCTAATCTTATGATTATTGGCGAAGATTGGGAAAATATTTAATAAATGGTTTTCACATGATTTCACATAATTTGTTGCAAAAGTATAATTAAAATAAAAGATGCGCTAAATATTGATTGCCATACACTTTCACTCTCAACAGAATCTCTAATGATTTAAACCCCGAAATAGTTTTATTTGATTAGATTTAGGGTTTTATTGTACGGATTAAGTCATGCATTCACTTTCGACTCTTAAATTCAATTGAAATATATTTACACCTCATTTCTTATATCCCAAACACTATTAGTTTATTTCTTAAGTTTAATTATTTTTTGAAAAAAGTTTCATTAAAATAAATAGTCTTTCAGTTGAAAATAATTTAAATAATTTCATTAAAATGTTATTGTAAAATATTATATAATATTATATAGCTTTAATATAGTTTTAATAATATGAAAATTTGTAAAACTATTAGTGTACACACAATCATAGAATTTAGATATTTCTTAATATATTTTAGTGACTGACTTGAAAATGAGAGAGAGAGAGAGAGAGAGAGAGAGAGAGAGAGATTGCACAAAACTATCGCTGTATTTGTGTGTTTTAATGCATTATAAAATATGTGTTTTTTCCTTTTGTTCACTACTCGTTGTACAGTAATTGAGATTTATTTAAGGAGAGAGAGAGAGAGAGAGAGAGAGAGAGAGATCTTTGATGTCTAAACTTAATTATTGATCTTGTTTTTGGGCAAAATTTATTGCAATAATAGAAATCTGTTTTAAGAAATTTATTAATAAGTTTTGCAAACAATTTTTGCTTTTCTTATCGGATGTTATATATCGCAAGTGATGTGACATTTATTGGTCTCTCGAGTGACTTCTGTATAAATAGCAAGCAATCGGTCAGTCTTTCAGTCCTTTACGACACAGTTATTGCTTTTGTTGTGAAACACATTTAAAGCGAAAGTAAGTGTTAATCAAAAGATG